TCTCTCCATTAAATGCATAAAAAAGATTGGTAATTATCTCGTTAAGAGATGCATTTCTAATAAAAATTTTACTTTTTGTTTCTTAAAATTTGTAAAAGCATAAAACATATTTTGACATTTTTAACAATTGTGCAGTAAGTTCATTCATAATAGTTTACTTCTTAGACCCTTACAATCACAGACAATGTAAAGATAAACATTTGAATTTGCATACATGCTTTTGTCTTAGATAAGTTTGGTAGGATGATCTCTAAGAGATTTCAATTATAAAACACATTTTATTTTCATAAAAACTGAGGAAAAGTATAATGGATTTGATCAAGGAAGAAAATCAAACTGTCATTCATCAAAATGCTAAAGACTACTTACATATATTATTAAAATGAATATTAAATCAATGTGGTATTTGTATTCTTTTGGATACTTAGAAGTCTGATCTTCCATTTTATTTTTTTGAATGTTTATTTAATTTTAAGAGACAGAGCATGAGCATGAGAGGGGAAGAGAGAGAGGAAGATACAGAATTCTAAGCAGGCTCCAGGCTCTGAGCTATCAGCACAGAGCCTGACTCGGAGTTTGAACTCACAGACCGTGAGATCATGGCCTGAGTTCAAGTCAGACGCTTAACTGACAGAGCCAAACAGGCACCCCCCATTTTATTTTTAAAGACTTCTATTTATGGTAAGCATACCATTGAAATGTATAAGGTATTTTTGATGTATACCTGAGGCATTATGAGTAGATTTTAAATTTCTTTTCGGGTTATATGTGCAAAACCACTGAAGGTCAATGATATATGTGATAATATATTCCCCTGCTGTACCCCTCTTCAGGAAACTCCACGAAAGTTATACCATTCTTGGTTTTCTGGACTAACTTGGTTTTCTGGACTACCAAAATGTATTTGGAAGGCATCGCATCCGTCCAGCATGGAATCCCTTTACAAGCTCTACCTCCATGATACCAAATCCATGCTAATGCTTAGTTATCAGATTCTTTTACATGCATGCAATGTCTACCCTATCCCAAGTCATGGGATATGTATCACTTGGAAAGTCTGACTAGGAAAATAAAATTCCATGCACATTCAGTAAATACAAAAAATAGAAGTCTTCCTATGCAACTCACTAGCTCATTCCATCCTGAAAGTCCTGTGTTTTCCTCTCTTGCCATCTTTGGTAGCTGCATTATGAGCTTTTGGCCTAGTCTTTGCCTTAGAATATATCATCATCCCATTGGGTCTCTATCCTCTATTACTCACCTAGCAAAGTCCTAAAGTAATGCTTAACACCCATGCAACAAGGAGAGTCAAAAAGGAGAAAATATTGTTGTGGCAGAATTTACCTGGGTTACTTTCTTAATTGTTCTGGGAAATGAGAAGAGATTTTTCTTTAAAAATCCCATGTGACTAAAAAATTGGATGCTATGTAGACAGATGATGTTTTGATGGAAATAATAGAAGTTAAGTCTGATCAGCTGAGAAAACAACAAAAAATATATTAAAAAGGATCTGTCATAATTATGGAATACAAAGAAAGTTGAATCATCAGGATATGGGAGAGGTTATAAAAAAGCAATTCTAAGGATCCTAGGAAACTTTTAGGGTAAAACACAGACTTTAATATGATTTGGTTCCAACAACAACCAGCCTGATTTTGTTCTCAGTTAAAAAGCCACAATCCTAGACAGAATCAGACTAGTTTGAAAGAGATGGTCAGCCCTTACTCAGTGAGCTGGGACTGCAGCATAGGGCTATTTACAGGGAAAGCACTGGAAATAAATCTTTCCCAAAGAAAGCCATTTAGAAGGAAGTGGGGATCGCTGTGAGCTAGGAAGTCCACCAAATAGGGTCACCTTCAGGTCTTACCCCAGAAGTGGCTGAGGGTGGGAAACCACCATTTACCTTGGTACAGGTAGTCATGCCCACCCCTCCTCAGAGAATGGACGCTTGTGTTTATCGTGTGGACACTGGTATAAGCTGAACTGTATCATCCCCAAATTCACGTGTTGAAGTCTTTATGCCAGTACTTATGAATGTGACTTTATTTAGAGAGAAGGACTTTTCAGGGATAATCAGTTTAAGATGAGGCCATTAGGATGGAACCTAGCCCAATGTCATTGAGGTCCTTATAGAAAGGGGGAGAAGGGATACCTGAGTGGCTCAGTCTGTTAAGCGTCTGACTGTTGAATATCAGCTGAGGTCTTCATTTCAGGGTCATAAGTTGAAGCCCCGTACTGGGGTCTGTATTTGGGTGTGGAGCCGGAAAGAAGGGAGGAAGGAAGGAAGGAGGGAGGGAGGGAGGGAGGGGGGGAAAGGAAATTTAAACACAGATGCTCAGATGCTCACACAGGAAGGCCAAGGTGGCAGGTCAGAGAGAAGACAGCCATCTACAAGTCAAGGAGGGAGCCCTCAGAAACAACCGCCTTGCCAGTGCCAATATCTGGCCTTCCGAACCATAGGAGAACACATTTTTGTGGTTAAAACTCCCCAGTCTGTTGTACTTTGTTATGGTAACTCTAGAAAATTCCTAGACAGTTACAGGCAACACTGAGCTCCTGATTCAGGACAATCTGCTGCTGAACACATGTGAGCCTTTTCCCTCTGAAATGGAGTGAAGAGTCTTGAGGTCACCCCAAGGATGGAACCAATACCTGCTCCTGAATAGGCAGCAAAGGCGTATTTTGCTCAATTCAAGGTCATGGTTATTAGTTAAACATTTATACAGCAATCACATTTTCCAAGCGCACTAGTTGTGCCATGGGACATCAAAATTAATAGATTTGTAAATATTAACTTACATCCTGGGATAAATAAGTCTGGCCCTAACAATAGCATTTCTGATTTAAATGAGGATCTATGTTATGCCTCTTCAGCCAGAGCTCAAGGACTTAGCCAGTGGTCATTTTCCATTAGCTTCCTTGAATGTGCCACATATTTTATAATGTCTTCCTGGGGATTTGCCTGCCTTCCTCTACAATAAAGTACATTGGCCGGTTTTTAGCAATATCTTTAAGTAGGTCATTAAGAAAACCATTCATAGGAAGCAGAGGTCAATTCTGGGCCTTTCTCCTTCCATTTAAATTAGAAAGAGCAATGGTTCTGAAATTTATCTACTGTGCTGTGACATTTACTTTTAAGATATTCAGTACACTTTTCAAAATTACAGTTACCAAGAGAAACCTAATATATTATGTCCAGGGTATACTTGACATTTTAGAATTACACAGTGGTTACTTAATTTCCCTATTTTATATTTTGAAATGAAGCAATACATTTAAAAAATGAAGCTTTTCTGTTGTGTGTGTGGTTTTTTTTTTTTTTTTTCTTATGATAACCAGTGAGATAGGCTAACATTTCTGGGACCCACACATGTTGGATTCATCTGGGAAACTTGTATGCAGGCTAGGATTTTGTGCTCAGAGATACGCCACCATGAAGATACTGTTGAAATTGTAACTGTGACCATTTTCCTTGGAGTTTATCCTTGTTTTGTAATGATTAAGTACACAATTCTCTCTTGAGCACTGTGTGGAAACACCCAGGTCGACTGTCAGGAAATCTCCCTCCTGAATAAACCTCTGTTGACTCCATCAGATTATTGCAACACACATTTCTCCATCTGACTCTGGAAAGGAGTGTTATGGAGAGGCATTTGGAAGTGGCACATTATTTATTCACTCTGCTGTTTATTTGGCAAATTTATATTCAATTAATAAAGACCAAGTGTTAAGTTAATAGTTACAAAAGGAATTAGCTGTGGGTATTCTATGGAAGTGAGGTTAAGGGCAAGTTTGCAGGTAAACCCAGAATTTGTATTTCTAAACATTTTTTGGAAGATTTTACTTTTAAGTAATCTCTACGTCCAACATGGGACTCGAACTTATAATCCTGAGATCCAGAGCTGCATGCTCTACCAACTGAGCCAGCCAGGTGCCCCAGAATTTTCAATTCTAACAATGCTCAGGGTTTGCCTCTTGTTCCCAGAAGTTGGACTTGGGTAGTAATAAATGGTACTTAGCGTGACCTATAGGCTCAATACTTTCTACTAGGCAGAGGTAGAACAGGGATATAGTAGGAGATGTAGTCTGGGGTATTCAAGAGCAGCAAGGAAGATGGTGAGGCACCAAAATAACAACAGTACCAAGTGCGGGACTCCTGGAGACGGACTTGTCACCAGTTGCTTTAGTGAGGCTTGTTAGGATAATAACGAATGATGGGGACTGTAATATTTACAGAAAGAACGCTGGTCTAGGAGGGATGCAAATATGAATGCACCAAACAAAGGCTTAGCTCTTTAATAATGAGAAGACAACAACAATGGATCATTTAGAATAGTCATCTGAAAGTTTACATAGCAATTTATATGACTTTGTGATATCTTTGTAAGAATATTATGGGGTACCTGGGTGGCTCAGTCAGTTAAGCACTTGACTTTTGATCTTGCTCAGATCGTGATCTCATGGTTTGGGAGTTCGAGCCCTGCATTGAGCTCTGTGTTGACATCATGGAGCCTACTTGGGATTCTCCCCACTCCTCTCTCTCAGAATAAATGAATGAACTTGAAAAAAAATTAAGTAACTTATTATCAACTTATGTATGTTGTAGTCACCTCATAAAGGCTGGATAGACATCCTTGCCACAAAATGCGTCTCAGATGTTGAGACAGATGATTCTATACATACACCAGGGGGATATAGTTTTGTTGCCCATGCAACGGGACCTTAATGAGAGAGACTGGGTGGAACAGACTCCCAAGCTGGTCCAAAAATGGCTTGAGAAAGCCAGGCAAGGGAACAGGTGTGGCCTCACTGTGGCGAGGGAGTGGGGCCAGATTGAGGGCTCTTGCCTGGGGATTCGATTTGCTTATATCTATTGAACTGCCCACTCATACAAAAGAAAGGAGCATCTGAGTCTTTTTGTTGTTGTGGCCAAAAATGAGGCAAGTAGGGAAGGGAGAAGGGTGAAGATAGAGGGCTCTCAGCAGCCAAATGCTCCAAACAGAGTCAGAGATCTTATTACAATCTATGAGTGAGTCAGAGTGAATCATAATGGACTTCCCACAAATTTTCAAGAGTCTTGTCACATTGCCTGAGAGAACTAATGGTGTCCGACAGCAATTAACTCCAGTTGGGAGTCCTTGTTCCTGAAGAACTCTAGCATTTGAACTTGATGTGTCCAAGAGAAAGCAAAGGCTTGGAGAGTTAGCCCGTGCGATATCAGCCCCGGGATCTTGCATGGTCATCAGGAGGCCGCAGCGATGGGGGCATACATCTATCATCTATGCCTCAGAAAACCTTTAATATGGAGAAAGAAATTGAATAAGTAAAATTCAGTTAAAAGACAAACTTTGAATACTTTAACTGTGTTTTCTTATAGTAGTTACTATATAGCTAATTGGAAAAAGGATAATGACAATATTCTAAAGTGAGATAATGCAGTGTTTTATTCTGGTGGGAAGAGGTGCAAAAGAAGTCCCACAGCATTTCCGCCTTTCAAGTAATAGTGCCATGAGCGAAAATAAACAAAAAATCTCAAGTAAGTAATAATAGCAACACCAACACAGACGGCAGATTCAGCCCATAACTAATCCCAGCACAGCACAGCCGCCGATGGAATTCCCAGCTAGCGCCGGCGGTGTTTCCTCTCAACCAAGTTCTCAACAGAAAGGCAGAAGAGGCGAGCCTGGGGGGCTCAGTTGGTTAAGCGTTCAACTTGGGCTCAGGTCATGATCTCGGGCTCCATGAGTTTGAGCCCCGCGTCGGGCTCTGTGCTGACAGCTCAGAGCCTGGAGCTGCTTCAGATTCTGTGTCTCCCTGTCTCTCTGCCCCTCCCCTGCTCATGCTCTGTCTGTCTCTCTCAAAACTAAATAAACATAAAAAAGAGAAAGATAGATAAATCGTTAAAGAAATAAAACAAACCACATAGCTTTTACTATCACTTATGATAACATTCAGAGCAGCAATATATAAATTTAAAGATGTGATATATAAATGGTAGAATGTACTTTGGAAAAATAATGTTCTAAGCACTAATTAGGTATGGTTCATATTTTTTGAATAAAGAAAAACATTTAATGAAAGATTGATGTTTCAAGTGTGTAAAACAAATAGTTGGACTCAAGTTTATAACCCAGAGCTACCAAAACATCCTTATGACTATTCTTGAAAGCTGTAGTGAACAGGCTTGAAGAGCCATCATTAAAACAGACAGTAATCGGTTTTAAGTTTTCGTGTACCAGCTGTACAGTAAATGAAAATAGTCAAATTAACCTTTAAGTACTTTTATTTACTTTTTCCGCCACAAATGCACTTCAATAAATCTCAGCAGATGTAAAACAGTTGTGTGATCCCCAAACACACAATCCGTCCTCCTACCCACCAGGGTTCTGTGATACCTAAGACACTGCTCTTTCAACCCTAGCTCCACTGCTAGGTGTATTGATCAAATTATATCATGTTTTAGGGTCTGTGCCTAATTCCTAACCACAGTGTAGATCCAAAGGATGCATAGATGACAATGTTAGATATTAAGCAGTTTTAAACTCTGATTTCCCCAGATATTTTCTCAGTGAATCCAAAATAATTTGAGTAGGGTTATTTCTGAACAAACGCAAATATATTCTATGGAAGTATTCTCTATTGCTCTTTTACTCCTAATTTCCAATGATATGGATTTTTTAAAGTGCTGATTGATTTATTAGGTATTTGTGCTAGACACGGAAAATCAATATGAGAAAAGCAAGTGCAAAATATAAGTGACCACAAAAGACTTTATGTGTGTCTTAAGCTGATGTAGAGGGAGGTTTTGATGTAAATTTATCTCAACTGCAAAATTTTGTTTTACTCTGAGTTTCTGTAAACTTTGTCTTTTGCACAATATTGAATGGAAGCGAAAAAAAACCAGCAAAAGTGATTTTAATAGAGAAAAACCTTTAAAGAGTTTACTTTGGGGGTACCTGGGTGCCTCAGTCAGTTAAGTGTCTGACTTCGGCTCAGGTCATGATCTCACAGTTCATGGGTTCGAGCCCCACATCAGGCTCTGCTGACAGCTAGCTCAGAACCTGGAGCCTGCTTCAGATTCTGTATCTCCCTCTCTCTCTGACACTCCCCTGCTCATGCTCTCTCTCTCTCTCTCTCTCTCTCGCTCTCTTGCTCTCTCGCTCTGTCAGAAATAAATAAACATTTAAAAAAAATATATAAAGTTTACTCTTTAAAAGAGTAAAAGCTATTTAACCTGGCACGTTTGAAAATGTCCACTGACATTAATTATCTTATTTTATTCTTTTAACAAATTCTTTTTAAAATATTCATCCATTTATTTTGAGAATGGAGGGGCAGTGAGAGAGGGAGAGAGAGAATCCCGAGCAGGCTCTGCCCTGTCAGCGCAGAGCCCTATGAGGAGATTGAACTCCAAAACCATGAGATGGTGACTTGAGCCAAAATCAAGAGTTGAACGCTCAACTGACCTAGCCACCCAGGCGCCCCAACATTGATCATTTTAATTAAGTACTTTAGTTTTAGATAAATGTATATTCACATGCTGTTGTAGGAAATAATACAGAGAGAGACGACGTGCACCTTACCCAGTTTCCCCCAAAGGTAGCATCTTGTGAAACTATAGGGAGTATCACCACCAGGATACTGCCGTTGAGCCCACATAGAAAAGCTTCCGGGTACAGTGGCCACCCTCTTCCTGTCCCTTCTGCAGCCAGAGTCACTTTCCTCCTTAATCACGTCAACAAGTAACTGTGCTTATTGTCTGTCATGTTCTCAGCTCAAGCGTGTCACAATGGTGTGTGGCCTTGTGGGGCTGTCTGGTTAACCAGCGCCCTGCTCCAAGGGGCCGCCCATTTGCAGTGTCTGCCCCACAGGTGAGGGGCCCTGTCAGTCTGACTCTGCACAAGAATTTGTCTTTGTTGTTTTCGTCTGTTTAATTATGATGTGTCTTACGTGTTTTTTAAGGTTTATTTTATTTGCAGGTCACGTGGCTTCTCAAATTTGTCGGTCTGTGTCGTTTTCCAAATGTGGCAAGTTTTCAGCCATTATTTTTTTGAGAGTTTTTCATGCCCTCTGGCTCCTCCTCTTCCGGGGCTCTGATGACACAAACGCCATGTCCTTTGTTGTACTCCAGCTGCTCCCTGTCGCACTATTCTATTGTTTTCAACTTTCTTTGTGTCTTGTTCAGATTGGGTCAACCAGATCAGTAATGCAATTCTAGCGCTTGAAGAAATTTTTGCTCCTGTAAGGATCTTGAACCTAGCCTTTGGGGAGAATCCACATCCTCTAAAATCCAAAGTAGATCCTGTGAGCCTGTGTGTGTGTGTGTGTGTGTGTTGCCTTTTATTTGGGGGGTGGTGTCCACAAAGCTCATTCTCTTTCTGAGAAAAAGTCCCTACCACACTCACCCCTACCCACCAAGCTCCTCTTTCCAGAACTGGAAGTTTCCTCCAGTTTCCATTCCTTCACCCCACACCCCAAACCCTCGTGGTGCCCCTCACTCCTTCCCCATGGAGATGTTTGCTGACATCGCACAGAGCATGCGAGGAAGGCAGATGTGTCACCACTTCAGACTGGACAGGCGGGGAGAGCATGGCCCATCATGCCTGAGGTCTCTATTTAAGAACAAATAGCCCCCAGTCTCGGGAAAGTCACGGGCTGGGAAGGTTGAGGTCCATATGTAGGTCAGCATGGAAGGATGTCAAACACTAAGCCTCAAACCCCCCCAGGTAAGGTCAGACTCATGTCTCTGCTTCACCTCATGTGGTTCCAGCCTTACCAACTTTTATTTTAAGGCCCCTCTAACTTGATCAAAACCACACATAACAATACAAGAAAAGATTACCATAAACTACTCTTATAAATATAGATGCAAAAGTTAATTAACATGCAAGCAAAGTCAGCTACACCTAAGGAATGTAAACCCAGCTAAGCATCAGAAAATCCATTCATATAATATACTAAATTAAGAGTTTAAGGAAAAATTACTTTTGATCATCTTAAAGCTGCATAAAAGACACTTAATAAAAACCCATCATCCATTTATGATACAAGCCACTAACAAGCAAGAAATAAAATGTAAATTTGTAACCTGATAAATATTTATCTCACCATCTAGAAGAAAGACAAAGTATATGAATAAGAAATTCACAGACAATAAAGACAAATAACCAATAGATAAGAAAAAGAAGCCCAACCTTCTTAGTTATCAAGGAAATGCACCCACAAACCACCATCCTTCAGATTAGCCCCAAATTATGAATACATAACAATTGCAAGCATCCACAAGAGTGATGAAGAGATAGGGAATTGCATAGCCTGGAAGGGAATATACATTAATATAACAAGGCATTTGTATTTTGCTTTTCCTTGGGAGGCTGATATTAAACACCCATCCGCGCACTAGTTGGTGCCTATCATATGCAGGGCGTCAAATTGGACTTTCTTCCTCTCTTTCACTCACTCAGTCAAAGTGACAGGACTTCATAGGTGTTTCTGTTGAGGTCATGATCTCATGTTTCATGGTTTCAAGCCCCACATTGGGAATGACAGCATGGGAAGTTCTTTGGATTCTCTCTGTCCCTCTCTCTTTGCCCGTCCCCTGCTTGTGCTTATGCTCTCTTGCTCTCAAAAGTGAACAAATAAACTTAAAAATGTATACGTATGTATGGAGCCGGAGAATGGAGAATAGATAGGCAGAAGGAGGCACATACAGTGGGACAATACACAGCTCACATGCGTCATCTAGCACTGGATGCGTCAACACAGATAAATCACAGAGTAACTTGATATTGAGCAAAATACCGAACTTGGAGAAGCATGCCTGTGATGTAATGCCATTCATCAACTTTTAAAAACATACAAAATGTAATGCAATTACACAAAACCACTCTAGGCACCATAAACACACCCACCCCATCGGGGAGGGTGCAGGGTTGGGAGTGAGTAGGGCACACAGGACCTTTCGGTTCTATCAGAAGTGAGGCGGTGTTTTTTCCATCTTCAGAAAGTGCCAGAAGCAGGCCTGAGAAAACATGAAGATGGTTAAGGCGCAGCGAGAAGTGCTCAGTGACAAGTTTGCTGCCTGAGTCCCCAGCTTCGGTGTCAGTGAAACCTCACAGTAAACCTGCCGTCACACAACCTTCCCAGCAAACGTGCGCGGCCGGAGGGCGGCTTCCAGTGGGGTGTTTTCTTCCCCCCTTTTTCTTCTCTTCTCCGTTCTGCTCTACTCTGTTTTCTCATCTCCTGGCAATTGAAACAGATACCCGTTTAACCATCACAACGGGCAGAGCGGGAGGAAGGAAAGGACAATGGACGAGCCGCCCAGAGAAGCCTCCAAAGGGCCAAGCCCAGGGTCAAGTCCAGGGCCAAGCCCAGGGTCAAGTCCAGGGTCAAGTCCAGGGAGGCGCGAGCCAGGAGGCCGAGCCGGAGTCCGGGGAGGAGGGACCGCTCCCTCTGCGGCTTCAGCGTCTGCTGCAGATCAGAGGACACTGTCTCCTTCTCTTCTGGGAAGACACCCAAGGGCGACAGGATGGCGGGAGGCACGTATGCCAACTGCGTGCTGGGTGAACTCGGGAGGCGCCGGCGAGGCTGAGCCCCGGCAGGCGAGGGCCGAGCGCCAAGCACGCGCCAGGCGGCGGCTGCGGGCCCACGGCCAGGCCCCCGGCTTACCCGGGACAGTGGGCACGGGCGCTGCAGGGAGCCCGGGCGCGGCCGGAGGTTTCGGGGCAGGAGAGCGGACGCGGGCAGGACGCAGAGCTTGGTGCCCCGGAGGGAGGCGGAGCAGAGCACCTGCGAGCGATGCCAAGCCGTCCCCGCGTGGCCCCCTGGGGGAGCAGGGGGGCTGGAAGGGCTCGCACCCACACTCGTCTGTCCCACCCGCTGAGTCACTCAGTCGCTCCGCGGGCGGGCCTCCCCCTCACCAGGTGCAGCCGCGAGACTCACGCCTCCAACATCAGGCGCAGGAAAGAGGAGACACAAAAAGACGGTGTCGGAGAAGAGAAGCGGCAGAGAAGCGAACGGCGGGCCAAGAACTCTCTCCAGCAAGACGCTGCCTTCGGGCCAAGGAGCCGGGGCAGGGGTGCGGGGCTGGGCGTGCCCTACAGCTTCTTCCCGGTTCTGTGCCCTGCCTGCTAGCTCGGAGCTGGTCCGGGGCTGGTTCACAGCACGGGGTCTAGCAGATCTGCAGATCGGGGCCCTTGTATGTTGCTTTTCCTTGGGAGGCTGATGTTAAACCCCCATCAGCGCCCTGGCTGGTGCCTATCATACGTCACACGCCGGGCACCAATCTGGACTTTCTTCCTCTCTTTCCCTCACTCGCTCACTCAAAGTGACAGGACGTCACAGGAGGCCAAGCCTGAATCCAAACCCGTAGCTGCTCCCCTCACTCTGTCATCACGGCACAAATGACCGGGCGCTGCACAATGTGACCACATCGCCACGGAGGTAACGGCAACAATGAAACCAATGGGGATATCGTGAAACAGGGACCTTTCCAGAAAAGAACAAAATCCCAAGATATGGGCGTTCGGGGGGAAGGGGAGGTGACAAGTAACACAGAAAACAAGCCAGAACCACACAAGGAAGAAATGACAATAAGCCACCCACCAACCAACCAGATAAATGCATCAAAGATTTTTCAGTCAAATGTAAAATATCTTCCAGAAGGAAAAAAAAAAACAAACAAACAAACCACCAAAGGGACACTGACAACAGAAAAAGTAAGCACAGAACGAGAAAGAAACAGAAAGTTCCAGAAAGATGAGAGAGAGAGAGAAGGTAGAAGCAGCAACGTGTGATATTTGGTTTCCCTTTCAAGAAAAAGAATAAAGGAACCAACATTATATATAAATTCTATAAAGGGAACCTTCTTGAGAAGTTGCCAGAAATAAGACTCTGGCCCGCAGCTGAAAGGCCATACCAGACCACACAAAACGAGTGCATTTATGAACATTACAGCACATTTGTTAAACTTCAAATAAAGGGTCCTTTGGTTTTTGATATTGAAACCAAAAGATCACGCCCCCCTTACAGTGGTGAGGCTGGTCTGCTCCTGGGAGGCCACGCCCAGTGTGGAAAGACACGGGAGCAGACTTGCGGATTGAAAATACTAGATGTTAGAATTCCATATCCAGCCAAAAAGGGTAGACAAACTCTCCTACAAGCAAAAGAAAATTGTTCTACTTCTGTAAGAACACCATCGATGCCCGTGGGGCCTTGTGGGCCCCACAAGTTGGAATGTCTTTCTTTCTTTTTTCTTTCTTTCTTGCTTTCTTTCTCTCTCTCTCTCTCTCTCTTTCCTTCCTCCCTCCCTCCCTCCTTTCCTTCCTTCCTTCCTCCTTCCTTCCTTCCATCCTTCCTTCCTTCCTCCTTCTCTTCCTTCCTTTCTTTTTTAGACACACACACACACACACACACAGACACACACACACACACACAGAATGTGAGGAGGGGAGAGGCAAAGAGAGAGACACAGAATCTGAAACAGGATCCAGGGTCTGAGCTGTGAGCGCAGATTCTGACGGGGGCTCGAATCTGTGAGCTGTGAAATCATGACCTGAGCTGAAGTCGAATGCTTAACCGAGTGAGCCGCCCACGTGCCCCTAGAGCACCTTTCTCTGCCACACAGATTCAGGGCCCGAGTCCCTGGTTCCCAGCCCGACACACCCTCTACAGTAGGGGCTCCGTTTCCCCAGAGATGGTTGCAGGAGAAGATAAAGAACACTGACTAGCTGCTCACTGCTGTGATTCACTATCCCAGCTCCAGAGAGATTATCAACTAATTTCTTTTACTCAAGAAAGACACATTTATATCATTTTTCACACCTGTTCAGGTAGTCACTTACCTACACACAAACCCAACTCTGTTATACTCATGAATAGGACAAATCACATCACTCAAAAAAAAAAAAAAAGAAATTAAAAAGTATTAAGAAAGGGGCACCTGCATGCCTCGGTCTGTTGAGCTTCTGACTCTTGATTTCAACTCAGATCATGATCCCAAGGTCATGGGATCAAGCCCCATGTCAGGCTCCTCACTGAGTTTGGAGTCTGCTTAAGATTCTCTCTCTCTCTCTTTCTCTCTCTCTCTCTCCCCCTCTGACCCTGTCTACCCCACTTTCTCTCTCTCTCCAATAAAGTTTTTAAAAAAAATTTTTTTTTAATTTAAATATGCACCATGAAAAGTGAAGCAAAGAAGGAGAAAGCACATTAAGAAATTTTTTACCGTGTTCAGTATGATAATAGATTAGGAGAAAAATTTTTAAAAACGTATCCATGGATACCAGAAAAAGACATGTTTTCATTAATTATTCACAATTTTCAAAAATTTTTAACAAAACAGTAATATATGATGCATGATCAGGTAGAAACTGCATCATTCCCTTTACACTCGGGAAAAGGCAGGGAAGTTCTTCCTTACGATAATTGGCGTCATTGTTCTGGAAGAACTAGCCATCGCTACTGGACCAAAGGCATCGCAAATGTAATGGAAAAGTGTAAGTGGACACTATTTGGCAAATTCTATGAAATTTTTAATATGGGAAACCGGAAGAAGGTCAACTAAAGAAGATTTGTGATGACTATCAAAATAAAATTTATATTCAGATCTCAACCTAACACACAGAGTGGAAAGAACGCTCAGTTTTCAAAAGTTACAAAACTGTCGAAATAACTAGGAATGAATTTGAGGGATGCATACTACATGAAATACGCTTTAGATCTCAAGCATGAGAATTTAGAAAACTTTGATGTGTAAGAAATGTAATTTATTGGGCAGAAATATAAAGATAGAAACTAATCATGAAACTAACTATATATTTTTACACTCTTAAGTATTAATACATAATGTACACACAGTGGAATGTACATGTCTTAAGTGTGTAGTTGGATGAACATTGGTAGTTTTATAGACCTCTGAATCTATCACTCCAAGCAAAATTTGGATTTTTTATCACTGCTGAAATTTGTTTGAGGTGCATTTAATTTTTTAAGTTTTTTAAAGTCTTAATTTATTTATTCATTTCAGTAATTTTTACACCCAGTGTGGGATTTGAAACCCACAACCCCAAGATCAAGGGTTGCATGCTCTTCCAACTGAGCCAGCCAGGTGCCCTTCTTTTGGGACACTTTAATTACACACCTCCAGTTACATGCAAGTACTATTGTGATGTCTGGGTTTTTTTTTTTTTTTTTTTTTTTTTTTTTTTTTTGTTGTTGTTTGTTTGGTTGATTGGTTGGTTGGGTTTTTTAGATTTTTGATGTTTATTTATTTCTGAGAGAGAGACAGAGACAGAGCAAGAGTGGGGGAGTGGCAGACAGACAGGGAGACAAAGAATCTGAAACAGGCTCCAGGCTCTGAGCTGTCAGCACAGAGCCTGACGCAGGACTCGAACCCGTAATCTGCGAGATCATGACCTGAGCCAAAGTTGGACAATGAACCAACTGAGCCACCCATGTGCCTCTGTGATGCCCGTTGTGCCTATTTTTGAGCTACATCTAAATGGGATCATACAATATGTATTCCTATTGTGTCTGACTGATTTTGCTCAATATAATATCCACATAGTAAATTATATGTAATATATATTTTTCTATTGCATGACTAGACCACAGCTGTCCTGGTTATGGGCATCTGAATTGTTACTCATTTTTGGCCTTGCTGATCTGACAAGAGACTGTATCCAGCATATGGAGACACAACTCCCAACCAATACAATGGCTAAAATTTTTAAAAAGACAACTACAAATGTTGTGAGAAAGTGGAGCAACTGAAGTCTTCATACATCACTGGTGAGACTATAACTTAGCAAAGACATTTTTGAAAATGCTCTGGAAGTTTCTTCTAAAGCTAAACATACGTCCACCCTATGGTGAAGCAATTCCACTCTGTTTACTGGAGAGAAATGAAAACACATATTTACAAAAGAAACTGTATAAATATGTCCATAATATGTTCATTAAATAAAAGAGAAAGTCATATTTTATTATGGTTCCAATAAAATGTCAACGACAATTTATTTCTATTTATTCTTATTTTTTTATTCTGGGAAAATATATAAAAAATAAAACAAGAATATAAAAAAATAAACAAGAATAACCAAAAATATCATTTGAAAAAATGGAGGAACTGGCCTGTCAGATATTAAAAGATATTACAAAGCTAAAACCTTTTAAAAAATGGTGGTACTTGAGT